AAATTCTATAAAAAAAAAAAATTCGAAGTTATGACAGTTTAAATTTTGCACTTTGACTCTATTTATTTCTGTTGAAAAAAAATTTTTTTTGTTACAGGCTATTAGAAGAGGAAACAAGGGAGCTGTACCTAAATTGTACCCAGTATTGTCGTATCAACAAGAAATTACTCCCTAGGATTTTGGGATATTCGTGAATAAGTTGCCATAAATTTGGTTAGATTGGTTTCTGGTGACAAACAAAAGATATCGTAACTAGTGTCAAAATTTAGGTTAAGTCACCTGTCAGCTTGTATGTATAATTCAATTGATAGTTGACAGCAGGTTGACAGAAAACGTCAACGTCAACAACAAAACATAACCAACCCTAGGCATTCAAAATTACTTCTGAAAATTATAGTTACCAACAACATAAAAAACGCAATTTTCCTAAAAGTTCAAATCTTAGGTTTCTTGTTGGCAAATCAATAGGTAGGTATAGTAAACTATGTTTTATTATGCTTTCTTAACCACACAAAATCTTTCCTTATACAAGTGAATTTTATTATTTGTTAATGTTTGGCTTTTTATCTTACAATTAATGTGCGACTTGATATAATTCTTCAGTGGATATTTATAAAAATGGAGCATTTTTTTCTAATGGCAAGTGGTAATTAAGGTCTTTGTGGATTTTTCTGCCTACATCATAACTAATCGAAAAATTGCAGATTACACGATCATGCACGCGCAATAATTATGTATTATTATTATTAACGTCATATGATTAATGGATTTGGGCACATAAAAATTACCCATCATGTCAGTATCTCGATGGGGGGTCAGCCTAAATTATCAAAAACTCGTTAAGCTTAGTAATATGAAAAAACTGCACTGTCACCCCCATATTTTTCTACGACTTCCGGCTATAACCGCCGTAGGTGATACGTAATTAATGTAAATGAAGAAACATGTGTGAGTAAGCACCAAAAAAAATGGTGAAAAACCTCGCATAAATGATTGCATATTTTCACATTCGAAAAATGTTTAAAACATAAGATGTTGAATATAAAATATGTACGAAACGTTCCTACTATAAATTCATCACTAATAAACAGACGTGCAACAAAGCCGCAGCTGCATTTAAATGTTGCCATTACAAAAGTTTGATATGAAAATATAAAACAGTGCGAAATACGCATCAGGCTGGGAAATAGACAGCGACAATGGGGGAGGCGGAAAAAAACGGATAAGTGTGCAGCCGACCATAAAACAGCAGTCGGTTCACTTACACAGTTGTAACTTCCTCAAAAGTTGAAGTGAGAGGGATGCAGTGGCGCCAGAGTCAAAAATGAACCGTCTGCCATGAAGTACTTCTGTATGTTAGCCTAAGTGGTGCCGGTGACTTTATCTAAGTCTAGCAGTGTATCCGGTGGAGTTCGTCATTTATAATTAGTCTCTGAATTCCAGTATTTTATTATACATTTCGTTTATCGCAAAGCGGAGAGGAAACACAAAACACACTTTACTTAAGTGGAATATCTACTTCGGCTTGATTTAAATACCCGTCCTGTGCTTTAGATATGGAGCTTTTTGCGGGAGCTTTCGACGGGCCGGCTGTAAATAACCCCCCGTTTAGACGTCACAGCCAGACTAAATAACATTATCTGCTTTAATTCGGTAAATGGATCATGTCCTAGGTGACTTGCTTTGTTAGTGCTCCTACTTAGTTACAATGGGGACAAATAAGGTAGCACCCGTGTAAATAGTAAACATTTTTCTTGTTTGACAAATCGGACCTTGCTAAACATCCTTCTAAAACGTTTCAAAGTTTGTTTTTGATTTTAATAACAGTCTGCAGTCTTTCTTCTTAAGTAAACATTCGAAACGAAGTCTGGTAATGGCGTGCAATGTAACACGAACATGTTAATTTGTTGATGTATGCTTTAACTTGGCCATAATGACGATGTTACATTTTATGTACTGGTAGCTCTTTAAATTTTTATTAGAAATAAAGACTTTCTTACATGCAATCTCTGTCTAATAATAATTTCATTCGACTACACATTTTATGATTTTAGAAAGCGGGAGATAATTAAATTTTATTGTCATTATAGTTACTTCTTTCTTAAAAATAACTTTTACTCTAAGAAAACAAACAACACCTTTATTCTTAATTACAAACAAAAACTTATCCGCAAGACTAAATTGCCCCCCTAGTGATTATATTAATTGGGAATGGATAGAAAACATGCAGACAAGCACTTGAACCGGTGAAATCTTCAAGAAGACGTTTGAAACAACTCTTTCTTTTTATAATCCAATCAAATGCACACTCGGGTTTGCATAACAAACTATTATCTAATAAGAATTTAAGATGTAAATAAATCTAATTAAATAAAATGAATACTTAAGAGTTAAAAAGTGTTTACTATATTTTTGATGACTCTTTGAGGATGGTTACTGGCAACCAGTTCCCACGTGAAGGAATCCTGCAAACACTCATTGTTGGCAACTATGTGCCAAAAGCGTCATCTAAACAAACATCAAAGTAACGTGAAGTAGTAAAAGCCATCAAAATCTAAAAACGTTTTACCTATTTGAAAAAAAAATAGAATTGACATCTGTAATGTTAAGGGTTTATTAATACATATAATCCAGTAAACTATAAAACTATACTACAATATTATATAT